TGCACAAGAAGGCTGTGCAAAGCTTCGGGTGCTGATTCGATTCGGAAGAGATTCGGCCCGATTTGGCTGAATCTCCAAATCCGAATCGAATCAGGGGACCAATAAAAAGGTCCAAATCAATTCAAAGCTCTCTGAATCTCCGGAGAGCTTCAATGATTTGGACAGTCCCCAGTGGCTATAGCAGGGAGCTGAAGCCGGACTCGGAGCTAGTAAGTAGGGGGCAAAGAAGCGGGGGCAGGGGAAGCAGACCATGGGGGAAACTCTACCAGGGCCCATCCCCTGCCTACTCCCCCAGCCCCCTGCCTGCTCCCCCAGCCCCCCATGGCTGTCCCGCCTGCCCCAGCTCCTGGTGACTCACTGGGTGCTGCTGGGCAGGGAGGCAATCCCTGCTGCCCCCCACTCTTCCATGCTGCATGAGGGGCTCTGCACGAGTCCCCCAACTCCCCCATCCCCTCCGCTGTCCCAGCCCCCCTCATGGCTGCCCTGCCTGCCCCAGCTCCAGTCCTTTAAGAAAAAAAAAAATTCTGAGAAAAACCCCGGGCTCACTGCTTCTGCAGTGGCCTTGAGGCTTCAGGGGGGCTCATGGAAGAGCCCCCCATTCAGCGGGGGGCAGTGGGGATCGCCTCCCACCAGCAGAAACTGTGAGTCGGGGGGGTTTCTTGGTTTTGGGTTTTTTTTTTAAAAGGGCCAGAGCTGGGGCGGGTGGAGTAGCCAAAGGGGGGCACTGGGGAAGCAGGGAAGGGTCAGGAGACTTGTGCAGAGCCCATTATGCAGCATGGGGCAGTGGGGGGCAGCAAGGATTGCCCCCCCGCCCAGCAGCACCCGCTGAGGCCGGGTTTTTTCTTCCAAGTGCCAGGAGCTGGGGCGGGCAGGGCAGCCATTGCTGGGCTGGGAGAGCGGGTGGGGGATGGGCCTCGCCTGGCTGATTCGGGACAGCAATTTGAATCACTGAATCAAATCACTGTCCCCCGAATCGGTCGAATCCGAAGCGAATACTAGCCACTTCGCACAGGCCTATTGCAAAATGTTAGTTCATTTTGTTTGTTATTTTTTTTGTCTTTCGTGTGTGGCTGACACTAGTAGCTTCTAGCCAGGGGAGACTAACGTGAAAAACTGATAGAAAATTGATTTAAAAAATGCAAAAAACAACACACAGACAAAACATGGGGAAAAATACAGTGTGGAAGAGTAAAAGGGGCTCACTGGCAGAAATCAAGAAGTGTGAATGAAGGGTCTCCAGGACTTAAGCAAGTCAGTTCACTTTAGCTCTTTAACCACACAGATGTGCAGGTTAAGCTAACGTTCTGTAATAACATAAGGTGCTTTTGAAAGATAACAGTAAAAGGAAAAGGCTTCCTAGAACAGAGCCCTGTGGCCTGGAAATGAAAAAAAGCATTCTTATAGGGATTGCTTTTACAAATGCACTTAACTCTTTGTTCCTGGGTTTTGTTGATCCTTTTTAATGGGAACATGACTATTTCCTTCCCTTTTTCTCTTCCGTCCTGGCTTTGTAAGAGGGGCAGTCCTCTGTGGGCTTTTAGTAGGATTAGAAGACATACATTTCTGATGATGGTACCTACAAAAAAATTAATTGAAGAGAGTATTAGAAGTGTGTGATAGAGCAGGAAGAATACCACCTACTGTATAACTTTTCATTGCTTCCTCTTGCAGTACCCAGTACTTTCCCTGTATGCCTCTTATCCAAGAACTGGTCTGCTCTGACCACGGACTGCAAGATCTGAGTCCTATGAAGGCCAACATGCTGGGGACAGGTAGAGGATCAACAAAGTAAGTTTAATTTAAAAAAGGAAGAAACCGAATGCAGTCAGAGTGTCAGAAACCACCTAAAGTAGGAAGGCAGGGACAGGAGCACTACTAGGGAAACAGCTTAAGCCTTATAGACAAGAATATAAAAAAAAAGACATTCCTTTAGGAGATTCTCATAGTACCTTTTAAAAGTACCTTAGAGCAGCACTGGGCATCAGCAGAGTTGAATGGGGGAAGCCTGCGGAGCATGTTGCCACTCTACTCCTGGCTTGAGCCACTGTTGAGTCCCCCACCTTTTTCAGCACTAAAACTTACCAAAAAGTATGTAAATAAATGACATGGAAACGTTCATCTTTTCAGAGGCTCATCATACAGCTGTATGGGGGGCTGGAACCCAGCTGCAGAGGATTAAGGGGAATAGCCTACCTGCTTAAGACCACTGGCTCAGCTGACAGAGATGATGTGCTGGGCTCAGAGGAAGTTAAGAGCTCCCAGGAAGGAAAGCTGGGGGAGGAGAGGAGACTGGTGCTTAGGGAGAAGCACAAGGACTGTGTTGCTCCTCCAGGTCTGAAGGAACACCAGAGGTTTGATTTGCTTTGTACCTGTAGTAAGAAGCTTTCCATATGGATAATAAAAGGACTAGAACTAAGAACTCACTAGTTTTATGAGGAAACTGGCTCCTGAGTCTGCCTAAGGGAGCATCAACCTGCTACAGGGCTTAGTACTACAACCCTGACTTATGTGGAAAAAATTCTTACTCACACAGACACTCCCTTTGACTTCAATGGGACTAGTCATGTCATAAGGGTTGCAGAATTGCTCCCTAGCCATGGAGACTTTAAAATTATACCCTTCCTGTTTCTCTTCCAGGTATAAATGTGTTTTTCAGTGTGTGGCTGTGTACCTTAAGACTTTCAGTGTCTCCGACCACTCATTCTGGCAGCTTTCCCAGTCATCAACTTCTACCCAGTCTGAGCTTTGCGTAGCTAGTTTTGCCATGGTTACCCGGTGACTGGCACTGATCAGACCTTTCTTTCGATATGCATCACTGACTGGTGAAATGATTCCTTTGATTACCTTGTATTTTCCTGTGGGGAAAAAATGCATCACCCAGCACTGAATAGATGTAACTTCATGGTATATGTAATGTGCTTCATATGCATTATGGTATTTCAGAGAACGTGAATTCCAGTTTTTAAACAGAACCCTTATAACACAGCCCACTGAAGTTGGGAAAGCGCTGTGTGCTCTTGTCAATGCATGGGGTAAAACCATGAAAAAGAATTTGAATCGTACCGCTAAAGATGGGAAACAGGAACTACAGAGAGAAATGGGTGAGAGGTGGCTGTAACAGATGAGGTATGTCTGTGTCAAACTGCCAGTTTAATTGTGATTTGTGGACCCCACTTTTTGCTCTGGGGACTTCATCTCCTATTATGACCTTAATCTGGGGATAGTACCTCCTTCATATTGTTCTGCAGGCCAATGTGTCATTGAAGTTGTCCAAAGACGGAGCCATACCAAGATCTCAGTCATAGTTAATAGATCTGAAAAGCTGTAGTACAGCAAACAAGAGCCATCGATATTGAATGACTCCTCCTTACTGGAACTATGTTTTCTACCAGTAGGGCTACTGACCCTGAATTAATCTGACATGAGAATGCTGTAAGCTGGAACTCCCTCACCTGGAGTTTATGGACAAAATCTGGAAAAAGACTCTTTTGAAAGAGAGCTGCTTTTCTAAGCAAGGGAATATGCTAGAAGTACATGGAAGAATACCAGGCTAAGAACAGCAAGAAGAACTGCCCAACTGAAGGACACTGGCAGGGCTTACAAAGAGGGGCTAGATCACATCTAGGCGCTGAGTTCAGGCTGCTGCTGTTTTCCCAAAACTGGAACCCTCCAGTTCTGTTAAAAGTGAAATGTGTGTAGTTAAAGAGAGTCTTTTACAAGCCACATGTCCCTAGCCTTATTGATCTGTTGTACCTGAAAAGTGTAACTAGAAACCAGAGTTTCAACAGCCAGGGTTATGGGAAACTGTGTCTAAGCAACTGAAGGCCCGAAGGGTGGGGCACTTATTCTGAGGTCTCAGGCAACTGGACCATGGGGAGGGAGGTAAGGGAGTTCCAAGTTACAGCTCTCTCTCACTGCCTTAGAAGGTTGTTAAATAGAGTCTGTGCCTGAGAGACTCAGAATGGCTTTGAAACACATGGACCCAGGAGCTGAGTCCATTTGCAATACATAGGGCCTGTTTAGAGGCTGTAGCAGAGGCCAGAGCTGAAGATAAGAACTGCTGCTGTACACTACTGCACCATTTTCGTAGAAGGCCTTTTCCTTAATGGCTGGAATAAAGTGCATAATCTGGGGACATGAAGGATAAAATGATGAAAATGAGTCCAAAATGAGCAGCTAACTATGCACCAGGGTCACAGCTTTCATCATACTTCTGGTCATCCTTTAAGAACATAAGAATTGACATTTACTGGGTCAGACCAAAGGTCCATCTTATCCAGCATCCTGTGTTGCAGCGGTGGAGAGGAGATGCTGAAAGGGAGAGTGAACTGGATATTGTCACAACCCAATTAAATTGTGCCCATGCCACTAAGCAAGAGATACCATTCAAATCATCCTCATTTTAACGATTAAGGGTTAAAAGACATCCCTGCCAAAATTCCTTGAAACAAAACCCGGAGGGAAAACTGTAGATAATTGGTCAGCTGAAATAAAATGCGAGGGGAAACTATATATAATTGGTCAAAAAATAAGCGTAAGCTCCTCACACATAGCACACACGTAACAGGTAGAGAAACCTAACCCACTACCTTGTAACTTGAAGAGACAAATTGCTGATACCTGCCAAAAAATTACAGATTCCATATAACGGTTCATGATTGGATATCTTTGTCAAACACCTCTGCCTATAAATAGTTTAACGGTTTCCGCCCAAGGCGGAGAACTCTGGGGATTTCAGAGGAGAGACACCTGTGTTCGTCCTCAGAGAGATTGGGAACTTGATCAATTCCCAATAAACTCCCCGTCATCGTAAAATATTGATGTAGAGCGTAGAAAAGTCTTGCTAGCCCGACAGTTCGTTCCGGCGCCACGTCCGTCATTACTTTGCTGTAACCTGAACGCGTATACTCAACTCTGTAACGGAAGCTGTAATGGAACGAAGGCTCGCCTGCGTCGTCATCGCTATCTAGGCGATGTAACTAAACAAACTCCTGTAACCTACACGTGTCTGTGCCTGGTTAATTCCACTCCATCCATCAATTACCCGCCTGCCGAGTTCAAAATCTAAACACTCCGGTGTGTGAGTCAGCCAGCTGCCGGCAGCTGCTCTGATTCACGACAGATATGACATTGGGCTTTTTTTCTACTGTTCCTCTCTCACTTGCAGCCTCCAGCATTAAAAGTCTAGGAGGTTCTAACTCAGAGCCCGTATCCCTACCCCACCATGCTCAGTGGCTATTGATGCTGCTTTCCTCTGAGAATTTGTCTAATCCCTTTTTGAATCTGGCTAAACTATCAGCTTCCACAACGTCTGGTGGTAATGATTTCCACACTTGAAATTACCTGCTGTGTAAAAAATAATTTCCTTTTGTTAGTTTTAAACATACTCCCTACTAGTTTGATTTTGTGACCCCTAGTTCTTGTATTGAGAGACAGTAAATAATAAATCCCTATTTACTTTCTCTTTGCCATTCAGTGTTTTGTAAACCCATATCGTGTCCCCCCTCTCAAGTGTCTCTCTCCTACACTGAACAGGCCTAGTTTATTTAGTTTCTCCTTATATGCAAGCCCTTCTATACCACTAATCATTTTTGTTACCCTTCTCTATACCTCTTTGAGAGTGAAAAAAGGAAGAGACAGGCTGAGAGAAATTACTCCAATATCATATACCTTCATTGTTTCTCAGCACAAAATATGTGCAAGTAGCAGAGCAGTTCCCCAGTATTTTTAAATATGCAGCAGAAGGTCTAACCACTCATTTGAAAGATAGCAATAAGTAAGTTTTTCTGACATTTTGTGATTCAAAAGGAAAAATAATAAAATTAATTTTTTGGCTTCCACCCGACATGAGCCACAAACAACAAATATGGAGGACACTACTAATTTACTTTGCCTGGCTTAATTAGTATTGCACATACAGTCATATCTATCTCTGCATCTCGTGAGCGTATATCCAAAGCAAACGCAAACTGCTGCAAACAACTACACATACAGATGGGGCTGGAAACACAATCACACCCATCTCAGATTTCTTCATTTTGAGTTAACTAAGTCATTATCCCTACCTGTTTCCTGCAAATAGTCTTTAGCCAGTTCAAATAACCTTAGGTGCATGTTGGTGATTGGATTGAAGGAACCACAGGCTACCAGCACAATCTCAGTCCTGTTGTCTGGATTCTCCATACCCAAGCGAATAACTTCAGAGTCCCTGCCAAAAGCTACAGAAAGGAGAGAGGAGATTAAAAAGTTATTTCTGTTCCTAACTGAAGGACAAATAAAGCAGAAGATGGCCAGGTTATAAATGATTAGCCTGTCTTTCTAACATCAACACTGGCTCTACAATTTCTTACATAATCTTAAGGAAGTTAACATCACTAAATCTAATTGTTCCACTGTGGGCGCATCTACACACGACATTTACTGTGTAGATGACTAATTAACTGCGCGGTAAACATCTCAGCATCTACATGTATGCCTCTATTAGGGTGCACAAAACTAATGAGCTCCACAGCAGGGTAGGACTTGTAAATACAAGGGGCATGACTATCTGCCGGTTAGCCCTGCACTGAAGCATCCTTATGCCCCAGCCAGCCCCTCCACAGCACACTGAGACCAGTTGGAGCAGCCCCAAGCTGGCAGGCTGACTTCCCAGGCTGACAGGCTGACCCCCTGGACACCCTGCTAGCCGGGGCTGCTGCAATCCAGCTCAATCTGCTGCGGTCCAGGTGCACATGTAAACTGCACACCCAGGAGTTTCCTGGGATCGATATGCTCCACAGTTTATTGCTGAGTGTTAATGGCTCATGTAGATGCACCCTGTGTCCAGAAGGTGCCGCGTAGATGGCAAACTGGTATCTTTTTGCCCCAGACAGGACTATGACTCCTCTGCAGATCCTAAGAATGGGAAATGTAAGGTAGGGATCTTCAGATTTTTGTGAAGGATGCAGAAGGAATAGCGTAAGGAGAAGACTGCATGAGATTTGGCATGATATATGGCTAGACAACTGTACTAAACAACAATTGAGAGCCTAGGTAGTAAGCATAGCATATAAAGTGAAGAACAGCACTGCTGCCACCCTAAATATACAAACATTATGAGTAGGGACCTATTTAAATTGCGGTTTTGTGATCTTTGTATTTGCCATAATTTTGTGCAGATTCACCTGAAAAAAAAAGCTTACTGGAATACAAAGAAAGTGTGGCAATCCTTGAAACCACAAAGCATGCGGTTTGAGAGTGACATAGACTTGGTGAAGGTGCCAGTCAGAAAAGCGAAAGGGTTTCGGTGCCATCTTTTAAGAAGCCAGAAAGAATGCTACAGCAATGTTGAAGCCTGAAGATGAACAAAAAGAAATCCAAAAAAAGCAAAATACATTTCAGCTCAGGATCATGTAAGGTAGTTCCCTGTAGGAACCTTATATGCAGATACACAGTGGTAAATTGTTTTGTTCATTGTGCAACGTGACTGAATGTGTTGAGGAAAAACAGCACTGATAAGCATTTAGAATCCGAATCATATAAAGCGAAAGGCTGCTGCAGAGGCTGAAGGTCAGAGCAGGAAACAAGTGACTATGTCCTTGATCTTTAAAAGAACCACTGAAAGCAGTCTGACAAGAAGAGAGGCTACATTCATGCTAGTGGAGGCATTCACGGCTGTCAACATTCCTCTGGAGAAAATTGATAACCCTAAATTAATGAACTACTTGAACTAATATGTGCCAAATGCTAGCAGCTTCCCATGTGCAGACAAGCTTTGCCAAGATGATCTACTAGGAGTAATTACTTTGTATGTTCAGTCTACAAAATCTGCATTGGCAGAATATGAATCAATCTTGATTGTAACAGATGAAGCAACAGCTGTCTAAGATAACTATGTTCTGCACATTTTATTTGTACCTGGGAGCTGTATAGACCACAACTTGCCTGTTTTTTAAAGTAGTTCACCTTGCATCTGTCAATTTTTCTATCGTAGCACAAGCTGTAGTGAAGGCAGTTGTAAACTATGGCTTAGAATTTAACAAGATCTCGGCATTTGTGTCTGATAATGCAATGTATGTGTGCAAAGCTGTCTGTGATGTGCTCCATGAAGTGATGCCCCATGCAAGTCATGTCACCTGCAATGAATAAAACCTTTCTTTAGTAAGTGACATCTGGTGCACATGTTTTCCCAATGTGGATAGTCAGGTTTTTCTCTTTTAAAAAAAGTGTTCAAACATTGTCCACGCCATAAGCTTTGTTGCAGGGAGTCCATCACCAATCAAAGTGGGATTTACATATGACTGTGTCACTTCCACCCGAGCTAGTGTTTAAAAGGTGGAATTCATGGTTTAAGGCAGCTTGTTACCACACAAAGAATATAAGATACTACCAGCAGTGTGTGTGTGAGGAGCCTGAAATCACATCTGGCACACAGTGCATGCTTAAACTACGGGATCTCTTACGACAGGATGACATTGAAGATCAAGTTAAGTTTGGAGCTGAAAATGTGATTTGGTTTATGGAGTGTCTAACGTGGTTTGAAAGTTGGCAGGCTTTGATCCATCAAGCATACAACAAGCTAATGAATTCAGTAAGTTGGGTCAAAGACGTGGCATCACAACAACTTTCAAACTGGCAACGAGAAAACCAGTGGAGACAAGAACTGCAAAGTTAAATCAGTACTACAAGAACGATCAATCATTACCACCGCAGTTTAAACAACCGTCTGTCTCCTTTTTAGTGCCGTTTGCATTTTTTACCTCAATCAGGTGCCTTTTCTGAGGTTTGACCCTCAGCTACTGAAATGAATTCCTGGATGGCAGAAAGAGCATGACAAGGAATGTGCTGCTTACATGAATTTTGTTAAAGTGCCAGATGCCTTTGACTGTGACTGTTTTGGGAGTCTGTTTCTGATTGGTTACCACATCTCTACAACTTGGCAAAATGCTGCCTTAAGATTCCAACCAATTCAGTGGATACAGAATGTGCGACCTCAGTGTAGGGACAAGGGTTCGCGCCGCGGAGACACAGGATGTCAGCTGCAACTGCTGGTGGATGCTTCATGACAGCATTTAACAACTAACATGAATTGTTTCTATCCAGGTTAGCATTATTTCGTATTACTAAACTTTTTGTAGAACACTAATAATAAATTACGATATTAGTTACAATTCATACTGTATATAAATGTATAGCCATAATATTTCAATTTAGATATAAATGTAATACTGAGATTTATAATAATGCAGCAATTTATTTGATATTTCAGTGAACTTCCCTATTTAATTATGCTGCGGTTTTTGCCCCTCAGCCAATTAGCAGCAAGCTGTGGGGCTGCCATGACCACTTGGCCAATTAGCAGAGGAGGAAGGGGGGTTTGCCACAAAAAGACCATGAAAACAGCTCCGTGAGCCATTAGTGGCCCATGAAAATCCCTGTTTCATTGAGATTTAGGTAGGTCCCTAATCATGAGTCAGCCCAGTCCCATTAACATGCAATTATTAAAGTACACCCCCCTACCCCACACCTTTTTTTGTTCTTTTTAGATATTTTATTTAACATTAATTCCAAGCTGTTAGCATGCTCTGCATTTCTGTTTTCAAGCCCTTCTATATGAGACTTAGAAACGTACTTAAAAAGAAAGAACTCATTCTTGTGGATTCCAACAGTTGGGGGTTTAATAAAAAAACTGTAAGACTCTAAATAAAATCATAAGAGCTGGCATCACTGTAGTAGACCTCTGATGTGCTTATCAAAAAGCCTATACCCTTTCAACTTCCTCTATGAAAACATCATAAAGTGTAAGTTGCTGTCACCATCTGTCCACCAGTCTATGTTTAGTTACAGGGGACCCGGTAGGGTCTTGATTTCCCTCGGCATTAATGTGCATCAATCACTGTGCAGATAAAATGGCACAAAAGATGTTCAGCGGGTGGCCAAGGTTCAAAGAATAGTGACACATGGTGTCATTAAAGTTTAAAGGTCCTAGAGTTTGTGTGTTTGGCAGCTTGCTACTAGTAAATAGTTTTAGTCAACAAAACAAATGCACCAGGTGTTTCAAACACATTTAACTTGTGGCTGTCCTCAGTTAGCAGCCCGTAATATATTAAGCAGAACTTTTGCAGGAGTTGGACCTAGACTCATTCCTGCAAACTAGCAGAATTGCTGCTTTCAGAAAAATCATTTTTTTAACTCTGCTTTTCCCCTAATAAATTCTTCACCGAGAAGGAGAGAGAGACAAAAAAGCACAGCTCACACCCACAAATGATAACATTATTTCTGGTGCAGATTGGGAAGGAAGAGAGAGAGTGTTATTTTTAAACAGCTAGGAAGCATTCAGCACCCGTGATGGGGGCCATGTTAGGAGGAAGCTGCCAAACAAACTACTGCTTGCCTGAAACAGAAGCAGCGTTGTTAGTGCCACATTTGACCACAACAAACACAGCATTCATCCATTGTACGGTTTACCTGAACCGAGTAAAAATAGTCGCCGTTAGTTGTCTCAGGAGGACTGTCTTGGATCAGCCGTGTAGTTGGCATAAACCCTTGCCCCTCACATAATTTCTGGACCATCACGGCTACATCACTCTTACACGACTGAGGATTTTATCCGGTCGTTAGAGAAGGGTCTGCTCTTCCTGCAGGAGCTGCACACAGAAAAAATATCTCAGCTGGCACTTTTGAAATGTGACCACAAGAAACAGAAAAGTTGCTCTAACGGCCAAGTGATTGCCAGTTTACTGTTATGTGCTGTTAACTTAGCATACAGGACCTTTGCATTACCATTCACCCCCCCATTCCCCCTTTGAGTTATTTAGGAAATTCTTGGTTTGCAATTAAAAAAAAACCAACAAAAAACCAGAGAGGGAAAGTAAAACCAACCCCCTTTCTGCACAATCCACTTTCCCTGGAGCCTGTGAGCTAGATCAAGCCCACAGGGATGTTCACCATTCGACACCAAATCAGAAAAGCGAACCGAGCCCGAATCAAGTGACTAAATGTCACTCCTCTACAAGGCAGGGGCTAAAAATAAGTCATCCGAGGCTCTGCAAGTGTTTGCTCCTGCAACACGGCTTGTTCTCTGTCAGAGGATAGTTTGGCAGCTTCCCCCCCTTCCTTCTGCAATGGGCTCACGAACTTCCCTCCCAGTTTGGCACGAGCAAGCATCGCAGCGCCCGGCCTAGGCGGAGGGGTTGGCTGTTCCTGCCTCCCCCCGCCCCGGCCACAGCAACTTTGCTTCGGGCCAAAGGAAATCGGATCGCTCCCCGGTCGCGTCCCGGGGAGGAGGCCGGGCCGGGCGGACATGCTGGTGCTCGCGCCGCTGCGGCTGCTGGCTCAGTCGCTGGCCATCGCGCTGCTGGTCTCGCTCGTGGTGCCGAACTGGCTGGTGGTGACGGGCTCGCGGGCGCTGCGCGGGGCGCTCCGCAAGCTGTGCCGGTAGCGGCGCGGGGTGAGCGGCGCCGGCGCCGGGGCCGGGCCCGTCTCTGCCAGGGCTCTGCAGGGGGTGCAGAGAAAGTAGCTCGGGGGCTGGGGCGGAGAGGTGGGGCAACGGGGTTTATTTCGTCTGCAGAAGGAAAAACCGAGCGGCGATGTAACAAACCCCGCCAGGAGGATGGAGCCGGGCTGGTGGCGGAGCAAGGGGCGATGGCTCCAGTTGCAGCGAGGGATGTTTAGGTTGGATGTTAAGGAAAACTTCCCCCGAGGAGGGTAGGAAGAGCCTCCCTCCGACCCCCAATCCCCTCTTCAGGCATTTTGAGACAAAGCCTCGGCTGCGGTGGTCCAGCTGGGGCCGGACTAGCTGTGATCGCCTCATTTTCTGATTCTGTGGAAGTGGTGGTGTTGGGGGGAGGTTCAGGAGAAAGACCACCGTCCCCCGCAGGAGAGGGAGAAAGAAATTGGATGGAAAGTTTGGCTCCTCTGAGCCGGGGTGAAGTTTCATAGTTCATAGTTTCATAGTTCCTGCCCTGGGCAGGAAGAGTGCTGGGATCATAATACCCCAGGCAGATATCTAGCCAACCTCCTCTTAGATAAACTCTAAATACCTTAATAACTATTTTCCAACACCGGAAAGTTTGTGCTAAGAAATCTGGCATAATTTTTTTCCCCTTGGGTAAAATGATACACCTTATACCAGAAATGGAAATTACAGGGACAAAGCCTGAAACAACTATTACACGCTACCTAAACTTAAGTGGTGGGCAATTTTTTTTCCTCTTTTGCACATTTGGAACTGGTTTTGAGTGGAAGTTGTTTTCTACGTGTCCGTGTGCAAGGTGAACCTGCCCAGGTTGTCACAAGATACAGTTGTAGTAAGAAAGCAGGAGGAAAGATCTGGTTTGTGCACAAGTTCTTCCTGTCCTTGAACTTCTTCCCCCCACAATCTCTCTAGTACCTTCATCAGCAAGAGAAGCACTGTAACAACAGATATCCTTGGGAATGATTACTTGTTTTTAAGGCAAACTTTTTTTTTAAACTCTTGTTCAAAGAGGAGTGGAGATGCAAACGTTCCTACAACTCCCCTGACAGCTCCCTGTTCTGTACTAATTCTGTCCGTTTCATTACAGTCAATGCACTCGGTGTTTGCCATGACCAATCGTTCTCAATCGTTTTAGGCTCAAGGCACCCCTTGGAAAATGCCAGCTCTTTGCTTTCGCTAATTTTTTTGACTCTGAAAAAACAAAGCATTTCTGCTGCAAAGTACTCAGAGAGGCCACAGTGGGCCAGAATGGTTTTAACACTGCAGAGTCCTATTTGAAATCTCTGGGTTTATCTGATGAATCACATTTGCACACCTAGCAGTGCTGACTTAGCATGGCATCCTGCAGCACCCATGAAAGAATCTCAAGGCGCTACAAGGTGCTGCAGCGCCCTGAGCATCACTGAAGCAGAGGTACCGTCCATACATGTGAATACTTCTGGAGTCCATGGGTCAGTCCTAGGAGATGGTAAACAAATTATCACCACCCTAATATTAATGGACTTAAAGCCTTTCTCCTCCTTCCAGGTTCTTGAGGATTTGAGGCAGCCCAACTATGATTTTCTCCCTGGTTCTCACAGCCTACCACCTGAGCGGATGGCTGTCCAAACATCATCGATTCAGAGTGTAAGTACAGTTCTGTTTCAGGACTGTTTATGAGAGGATGTGAGGGGGTGTTTATGGCAAAATACAGTAAATGATTTAGAATATCCTTAATCAGACAAAGCTTTCAGAGAAAATGGCAAAAATACCTGCAGGCTGAATCAGTATAAGCAATGGTGTGTTAGGGAAGACTGAATGTAAGCAAAAAAAAAGCAGCTTGTGACAAGAGAAATCAAAATATAAAAATGGTCCAAATCAGGATGAGAGTAAGTTGGGAAGCCTAAATTACTAAAATGATTTGAAGGAGATATGTTCAGAGAAAGGCACCTCATAGGACTGGACCACACAATGTTAGATGAATGGAAAATGGAACTAAATGGCTGCTACTGTTATTGTATGTGATCAAGAAATGTAGGCCTTGTCTGTGCTGAGAGGGTCTAGGTAACACAGTGGTCAAAATGCCTGCAGATATGCCCTTGTTTTCATAATCACGTTTAGAAGTAGAGCTGCATGGCTGATAGTGGGAGAATTCTGTATCTTTCACAGTTCAATTGATAAAACGTCATGCTAAAAACAGTGCTAGCTCCAGCTTCGTTTCATTTAAGCATGATCTAGCAGTACCAGTTCTTATCCTAGGGGAAAGCTTTGAATTTTTTTAGACCAGTGGTGTCAAACTCATCTGGCCCTATGGGCCAGATGAGGATCACTGGGCCTGTCTGTAGGCCATATCAGGACTAACCCCCTGTACCCATGCAACACTCATGGTGCCAGGATCAGTCTACACACTGCCCATAGCTTGCACCAGCCCCATCTCAGGGCTTGAACCTTGTGCAGCCCACAGGCTGGACTTGGTGCTGCACACTGCACAGGATCTGGGGAGCAGGCTGCATGTGGCACCCTGCTGGACCAGCCCTGTGCACTGGCTCTAGGGCTGGTCTGGATCTGGCCCCAAGCTACTTGTGCACACTGGAGTTGGCATACAGGGTTGGTCCGATGCAGGTGCCACTTGCAGGACGTGCCCGTCTCCCTGTGTGCATGCAGCACCGGGTCCATTCTGTGCATGACATGCAGTGCAGGAAACCAAGAGCAGTGCACACCTCATATGGTGCAAGGGGTCAGTCCAGAGATCTACAGGCCAGATCATGTGGCTCCACAGGCCACATCTGGCCTGCGAGCCATGTGTTTGACACCCCTGTTTTAGACTTACAAATTATTTCCAACCCATTTTGGGAGTAGTTGAGTGCTCATCACCTTTGAAATGCAGCTGTAAGTTCTTTGCTAGCTTTAAACATGGGACTAAGGAGTTTAATGTCACATGTAATCCCTTACAAGAGCTGTGGGTTAGGTGGATTATTTTACTGCATAGCAGGCAACCAAGTTACAATGTCATTCAGTTTACTTTCTTCTCCATCAAGTTGTAGCGTGTGTTTTTGGAATTAACAATCTTCAACTTCAATGTTGTCTTATAAAGAGTTTAACCAGCAAGACTTGAGAGGTTTGATGCGTGCACTATGACTTCTGAGAGCAGTGGAGAAAAAAACGTAGCAGCTATCTTACCTGAGAAACCAATTTGAGTATTCTGAGACATTACAGTGAAATTATAGCCTGTTCCAGTTTTTGTTCTCGCCTGACAAGGGGGCTAGCAGCTGTTATCGTTCCCCTGAAGATCTGACTGAAAACTCCATTAAAGGAAGGGACATGACTGGAAAATCTTCTTGCAGTTGTAACTAAGTGGTTATCTACTATTTCCTTCAAGTAGCCTTCTGTTAGGGAACTTCTAGTGTTACAGGAGGTTTTGTGTGGTCATTTGCTGTAAAAGACATCTCTACACAACTGAGGGGCATAACTTCATATAGTCCAGTGCCCACTAAGGTCCTGCCTGTGAGAGAACTCTTTAAGTAATCCAAATATCCCAGATGTTTTCAGTATGGTATTCTACTTTTTGTTAAAGAATAACCTCTACTGGACTGTCTGTTTTAGCGGTGTCCTGGCAGCCCTCATTGTATGTTTTAAATAGAAGTTGGTAGATAAAGCAGGAGCTTTGCTTTGGCAGGGAAAACTAATGCCAATCCAGCTTGAGTCAGATGCTATTACTTTAATAGTTCTCAGTCCCAGGTTTAAGGTTGTTGATTTTCTCTGATTTGTATCAACATAGTACCGCCATCTCAAAACAGTGCTCTCTAACAGATTCATATGTGCCTCTGAAATGCATAAATGGAGATAGCTGAAAATGCTGATAGCTTTGTCTTGTAATATGAGAGACAATTAACGAAAATGATACAACAACAAGTATTTTGTTTAATCAAAAATGTAACTGCTCTCTCTAGGTTGCTTTTCAGACCAAACTTCTCCCAATGCATCAGCCAGACACTTCTGAGCAGCTTGGTTGGTGGTATCATCTTTGTTTTCTTCACCTTTGGTGAGTTTATGATCATCAGAATTTCACAGGGAGCTACATGGGACAGCAAGGAAACAGGACTTGATTTAGATCTCACGAGTTTGTAAGAAGCCCCAGGAGCCAGAACTGGGTGGCAGTGTCTCAGATACTTTTCTAGTTCTTTTACAGCCAATTCAGTTAAATGTTTAATTCTAGTGTCCTGATGCAGCCTGCTGCCAGGATTGAGATGGAAGATGAAAAAATATATACATCCATTGTCTAAGAGATAATATCGATACACATCTACCACTTTTGTCATTTGGCCACTTACACAGGCATGAATTATCACAGACATTTTGTTAATAGACCTAGCAGGAACACAAGTGAAAGAGATATAATAGTGTTATTATACCAAGGCAGGAAGAGAAAATAAGGGTGAGCTATTTGAGATTACAGACTTAAGTGGGCGGTTAACTTTCAACGTTTTTATGCTGGTAGACAAATACTCTAGCTATATTTTTAGAAGATAAATGGAATACTGACCAGTTCTACAAAAGGGCAAGCAAGATAAAGACATCCCAAAAGAGGAAGGATTATTGTCTTGAACTCTTTCATCAGGATGAACTTTAAAGCGTTATCTTGATTATTCTCATCCTATCTTTTTAGGGCCGCCGTCAGTGCTTACTTTTACAAAGCCTACTTCCTGGGAGCTGAAAGTGATCTTCTGCATATTTAGTAGCGGATCACTCCCTCAAGGAGTCTGTACTATTGCTTTGGCTACACAGTGTGTATGTATTAAAACCTTCATTCCACTTATTTTATGTTCTTTTAAGTAATATGTGTTTCTACTTCCTTTAAAGGGAACCTTTGATTATTGAAGGCTCTTAAATAGAGAGACTTTTGAATATTTTAGGAAGCAAATTTTTGGTTTCAGAAGAGTCATAAAATGCTATTAACTACAGTAACAGTTCTTATACATAGCTTATACTTTTGTTCAACTACTTAATTAGCTTTTCACAGTAATTTAGGGAATAAAGTCTGGATTTTTCTGTGAATGGATGAAAATTCAATTTCTTGGCAAACAGAATGGAGCAGTAATGCATTAAACTAGGATTACATTGACCTACCTGTAATTAATTTGATTAGAACTATAAGAATTTAGTATGTTTTCTTCACCTTCATATCTTGACTTATAATGTTAAAATAGTTGCCACTGTTTTCACTGATCAACTAAAAACTCTAACAAGCATGTAAACTATTCTGATAACAAGAAATCTTTTTGACAGTTGCTTTCTTACACAGGTCAAAATCATCCCTGAACTTTACTGTGTTTCTATGATGTCGTCAATGAGCAGCATGACTTCAGCAGGTACCTGTGCACATTTTTTAAACCTTTTACTCTGTGTAGAATTAGTTTTGCACATTTTCCCTTTATATTGATCTACCTGTATTTAAAAATATGAGTTGATAACTTGAAATAAGGGATGCTGTGAAGTAATTAAGCCAAATATTTGAGTTTGAAGTAAAACCTGCGAAGGCTTCTATTAAATTCCTTTTAAAAAATGTTAAGTAAAAGTATTTAAATGTTCTACTGAAGCATTAGAAACAGCACTATGGTGTTAGCTTGTTAGAGATTAACTCAGGGGTACTTGAGAAGGCCCTACCGGGTACATGCGGGCAGGCAGGGAGGGAGGGAGCGCTGCCATGCACCATCCCATGTGCCCGCTTGGCCGGATATACTGGAAGATTGCATGCAGTGGCTGCCACCTCTCCACGTTTGGCCATGTGCCACTTCCCCGTGCTTGGCATCCAGCTGCCAGGGGTACACTGCTCTGCGTCTGGCCGCCCAGGGTACACTGACACAAAAAGTTTGAAAACCCCTGGATTAATTTATATAAAAAAGTGAGATTGACCTGTCCAATTTGGTTGTGGAAATTGAAGAGAGTGAAAATAGTAAGCCAACAGCATGCATGATGACAAGTTAATTAGTTGGGTGTTTTATTTGTTTTAATGTTCAGTGTATATGCAAGGTGTGATAGTATCCTTTTAAACTAGAACTATGATCACTCTAGATGTTAAATTTTGAGAGTAGCTTCTGTGAAAGTATTTTAACAGGGTAGATGAAACTAAAGAAACTCTGATCATCTATATATGGGTACAGCATACCCCTTTCTGTTCACTTCATTCTCTTACCATCTTCCCACAACCCTAAATGTATTTTAGTGTACTTCTTCATGGAAATGTTCTGGCTTCCCAGTATGGCTTCTCCCAATTGATCTTAAATAGACACACTGAAACTAGAAAATGCTATGAGTCAGCCTCCTGCTGTAGTTGTCTGTAGCATGTTTGAAACCTCCATGCTGAGCACTGAATAGTCTTCCATTGTTTCCACAGCAACATCGCTGCCTGGCAAGTTCCCACAAGGTTGCTCTCGCTTTCCCACCCCTTTCATAATGAAGAAACTCACTGAACCTTGCAGTAGCCACAGTGGGAAGAGTTTGAAGAGATAGTCACAGCTAAATTTTTAACTCCTAATACGTACTAAAATCAGGTGGCACATGAATGGAAATGGAACAGCTCTGGTGTCTTTGAGGTTCACTCTGGAAGTGTCAGTACTTTTTAGGACTTTCAAGAGGGTTTTTTTTCCCCGCAGAATTTTTCTAATACTCTTCTTCATTAGCACAAAGTAGTTAGCAGTCCAGGACTTGAAGGGTTGGTACTGCTGGGAGTGCAGACCTTACACTGGCATCAGCTGGAAGAGTTGCTATGGGAACAGGAGAAGGAAGGAGCTGGACTTGCCTTTGTAATGCACAAAGCTCCAGTTTCAAAAGAAGTAAGCGTCTCAGATTGCACAGCTGAATAGGGCTGATTTTCTGCTTCTAAAAAAAGGGGGGGAAATAATGAGAAATCTTAGGATAGAAATATATGGTGCCTTTTTCTGCAGTAGGGATCAAATGGTCTTTTACATCATGGCAGCTAATTTTACAGTCTAGAAAAACAGGCAGCTATTAAACTGCATCATAAACTTGCTTCTAACTCGCTCTGTGTCCGTTTACAAATTGAGAGGTATTTATAGAAAGATCTGATTATTCACGTATACTTTCATCTTCCTAATGCCTTCTGACAGCTGTGGTCCAGCACCATTTTCTCAGGAAACACAGCTGTGTATAGCTGGCAAGGGCAGCAGAAGGGATGAGATCAGATACAGTCATCCTTCTGCCTTGAGTGGCAACTTTGCAACTGGGGTACACTTAGGGTGAGGTGACACTTATATTCAATCTGGAAACACCTTGATGTACTAAGGCAAAAAGAGGAATGCGTTAGCACCTCCTAGAAGAGAATAGTAAGGCTTAGGGCCCATCTATTGTCGGACTGTCAAGTTCACTTCACTGGCATCAGGGTTTAATTTGCCTGAAATACTTCCGTAGTTACAAAACCATTCTTGTACACAAAATTAAAAATGTTGAAAAACTTCTATCAGACTAATTTAAAATATTGCACTGCAGGCAATTTGGAATACATCAGATTTATGGTACTTGTGAATCAGGTGTGCATTTGTTGTCATTATGAAAAAACTGCTCACTGAGTCAACTTCAGCCTCGTTGTAGCAACATCAGTGTTCTACAAAACAGTTTCTTGGCCCATACTACTATTTTTAGCTTTTATTCTTTTACTTCAAAAAGCCCTACTACACAAGAGTGGGCTAAATCAATCTACCTGATTTAGACTGAGCGTGGGAAATCAAGATAAGCTTTAAAATGGAACTTGGAATTGTTCCGTTTTTCTCTCTCTCACCACTGCCCCTTGCCAAAGACTCGTTAAAAAGAAGCCAACTATTGCCTAGATCAGTGGTTTTTAACCTTTTTGGACTTGAGGCATCCCCTTCAAAACTTTTGTGAATTGAGTGGCACCCAATTTCAAAAACTACTTGATATATTTTATACATTACAGCGCTCACCTCCTTGCAGAGGAGCTGGGCAGTGGGGGTAGGGGATTGGCCAGGCAGGGACAAGCCTGAACTTATGCTTATCTCCTCACCTCTCCTGGCACCCTTCAAAGGATCAGGTGGCACCCCAGGGTGCCATGGCACTCTGGTTGAGAATCACTGGCCTGGATCTTTGTTGCAACTCTTTAAAGACCTGTGCTGGATGCAGACCTAGCTTGTATAAAATAACCATTTTTATGGACTAGAAACAATTTTTAAAACAATCTGTTGAACTAAAACCATGAACCAGGTTCACCTGATGTAAAGTGTAGCTGTGTTCTTACTTTGGATGCCTTAGGGACATTTGCACGAGTCTCTCTATTGTATTCTTAGGGACAGATATGAAAAATAAATAAGTACATTGTACAATTCTGTTCCAGAACAAGCTAAACCATAGCTTCACCATTTACTGGTAAAAATAGCTTGGATTTAGGTAATGTTCTTGTCTCTACCATTAAATTCTGTTCTGAGGAAACTCTGTTTAATAACTTACATATGGCTCTAGAGATATTATTTCTAAATAAGAAAGAGTCAGTGTTTGACACAGCTAGATTAGGGGCCTTGTCTAGGACAGGACCAGGACATCAGATTCACTTAGTCCTTTTTGCCCCATTTTTCTCTGTTTCATGTTATTAAAATGGAGTCTCTCTTAACTGTCTGATAGAGCTGGGTTACACAGAAGAAGAGTCTAATACTCTAATAAATTTTTATTGCCAGTTCTGACAATACCGTAGAGTAATCTCTTAAATCAAGAAATTGCCCGTTAAACTTCATAGTGATGCTTCGTGGCCCAGGAAGGTAGTTTCTTCTTCCGGAGGACCTCTTGAATATTTCTTTTTCTATGTGGAAAAGGAAATGGTCACCGAAGAGCGTAGGTGTGTTTTCCTAAACAATAAATGATTCTTCAACCACACCATGATGGCACAGAGCTTGAATGAGCTTCCCTCATGGATGAGCAGCCATTCAGTAAAGCTTGTTCTGAGTAAGATGGAGCAGAAGAAAGGATTTTGAAAATTTGGCAGTGATAATGCATCTCCTTCGTTTAAAATTAGGCAAATACCACTGGAAAATTTAATTCAGAACTGAGAGGACTGTGTGCATTCTGTCTCACTCTTAAGCTCTCCTGTTGAAGTGTCTATAAGCAATGCTTTCTCTCACTTCTGGCTGGCTGGAAGTCTTCACTTTCGCCTGACATAAAGTGACCAGGTTTAAATTATACAGGTTTCTGTCATCTTCAAAATCAGGCATGCAGCCACCAGTCTTTAGGAAGCTCTAACTAATTCAGAACATGGCAGCATGTCTCCTTAGTAACACAGGCTACTGGGAGCGTGCCAATCCACACTTTACTCTCTATGCTGCATTTCCACAGAATACCAAGTCAAGTTCAAGACTATTAAAAAATAATTTAATAAGCCAAGATGGCGACTAAAGTAAAAATGTCCATTTCTGAGGCATAATGAAACTATCTACCACTAGGATCTGTTGCAGGAGACACCTGTTGTTTGCCTCTGATGCCAGACTGTGCAACGCACTTGCCTGGAAAGTAAAAGCTACCATAAACCTCCATGTCCTCCACTTAAAATGCAAAGGTGCACTTCTTCCCCTCTAAGTTAAACAGAGCAATGCACATGTATTTGTGCAAAAGAAACCTCTCCCTCCTCCCCTCTTCTCCCCCCCCAAAAACAAAACCAACTCTGCCCACTCATTACACTGCAATCACAATTTCTTCCAGGGAGAGAAGATTTAAAAGAATGAACCAGGCAGGAGGGGTGAATGAACCCATATAAAAGAGAATATCCACTCAAGTAATTTATTCTGTGTAATTTTGTTGATTTTGTATTATCTAGCACTATTGTGTACTGAATCACCCCAGCATGGCCACAACCTCTAAATACTTGTAACAGTAACAACAGTTCTTTGTTCTTTATCCTCTCAGACCCCCAAAAGCCAAGTCCTTGGTATGCACAGCTAAAAAAAAGCTTCTTACATGGATGTAAAGCTTAGAGCAGTTTCATAAACATCCAACTCTATCTTCACACCAGCTATGAAATAAAACACAGAAAATAAATCTCCCTAATGATACCTGAGATAAGGAATCAAAATGAACGTATAAAGAAAATTAATTCTCAGAGAGATTCTTTATAGAATTAACATAAGGCTACAGAGTCACATTTGTCCTGGGATTAGTCATTTTATCTCAGGACAGAGTGCAGTTGTTCAGATGTCCACGTCCACTGTCCTGGGACAAAACCTTAAAAGGTTCACAAAGTGCTAAGATGTGATAACAGTTTGGCCTAGGATACCACAAAGTATGTCTGAATGCTTGTCCTGGGATCGCACCATGGGATCAATGGCAGAAAAGCAGCAAATCATTCAGCCGCTACCAAATCCCTGACTGGAAGGATGATGTGTAGGCACACCAATCCTGGAACATTTCTGTTCCAGAACAAACACATGCACAGTTTGTCCTGCAATGTCTGTTTGTAGCCTAAGCGACATAATACATTGCTTGGAACTAATAATACATTTTGTTATGAATTAGTACACGTTACATATTTTAATGGGTATTAACAAAACCTCCATTTGTTAATACCCATAAAAACTCCTTTTCACTGCCACATTCTTTTTACCAAACATTTAGCTTTACTTTCCAGTAGGAAAATTGACAGTGACAACAGATGGAGGCACATATATGTTTTACGTATCCAACATTTTCAGTAAGCCCATCCCATATTGTTCTGAAATTGTCATGTGCATCTGCACAAGAAAATGCTGAAAGTGTCTGCCAAACTGTTACACGTGCACTTTTTGTGGCATCTTCCCTTTCAGGATAAAGCAAACCTGGGAAATATTGCAATAGCTTTGAATGTTATGAGGATGCGTTCCTTGTCCTCCTCTTCCCCTTCTTTTGTTCTGTTTTTCACTCTCCCTCTTTCTCCTTCCCAATCATGCATCTTCCAAACAAAAATAAATGATCACTTTTTCATCCTTGCCACACGCTAGTACACTCAGCCTTGTGTTCACTCGTGCCCACCCACTCACCGTATTTCTCAGATCTCCCATTAAAAGGGCAGTGGCTCCCGGGCCACACTTTCAGCTCATCTTCATTTTGAAGAAAGAGCAATGGTAAAGATAATTTTCTTTCCTTTTTCCCCCCTGAAAAAAGCAGCAGCAGCCAATGTGCCATTCACTCTTTCTGGCAATCCTCCTAACATTCAAATTCATCAGGACTAGGCATACAGAATGGTATATAGGCCCTAGAACAGTATTTCTCAACCTGTGGGTCATGACCCAAAAGTGGGACACAAGAATATGTGAAAACCCAGGGAACACAGTATTTAAATGGATCAAACATCTTTAAAAATGGATTCTCCTTTAAAGGAGAAAAACATGGGAAACTGTGGCTTTTTCTTGCAGGCTGGCAGAGCTCCAGTGTGCAAGGGACTGCTTGGGGGCCCTTCCCATGCCCCACACACCCACCCCCTGCCCCACACACTGGGGGCAGCGGGCCAGGAGTGAGGGGCACTGGGTCGGGACTGGCCACTGACGTTTACAAATGGGTCCTGGTACAAAATAAGATGTTGCGAACCACAGCTCTAGAAGGTTGTGATTTTATCCTGTAGGACAAAGATCTGGTTTTGTTCTTTGGAAAGCGACCAGCTACCAGTACGTTTTCAGTCTGTTTTACTTACCTCAGTGTCTCTCAACAAGAGCAGCGTCAGGTATACCGTTTTGTTGAGGGCGTTTACAAACAGATTTACGACTGTCAAATCTGCTCCTGCAACCCTCGTGCCAACGCCAGTGGGACGTCCCAAGAGAGAAAGAACTACGTACAGGTGACGGGCGTACAGGACGGGGTCCTGATTTAGGACCCGACCACGGGCAACTGGTGCCTCCAGAGTCAGGGGAGGCATGTGCCGTGCACCCCCTACGCGTCGCCACCAGGCCCGGCGCTTCTCAGAAGAGCCCTGCACACCCCAGAAACAATCCCACCTCCATGGACCCCCTGGGCGTTCACCGACCACGTGTCATTGAGGCAGCGGTTCTCCTGCTTTACCTGTGTTAGGTCTCCGTCATGCCCGGGTGGATGGCCATCTTAGGAAGAGTTTAGGTGACAGTTTGTACGGGAGGGCTGGGAGAGGGGTGACCCTGCCTCAGGCAGGGGACCTGTGGAGGTCCCTTCCAGCCCTGCTGCTCTACGACGGGAGCTGGGAACTGCCAGGCAGTCTGAGGGTCTGGGAAGAGCCGCCCTCCCCCCGCTGTCGCAGGACAGCATTTCCAAACGGACCCCGTTGGATATCTGGGGCCGCTCCATCAGCCCCCGGCCTAACGGGCTCCGGGAGCCCCGGGAAGAAGCCCAACCCAGAGAAGCGAGACCAACCCAGGAGCCGCCTGCACGTGCCCCCGCGCCCCGCGCCGCTTACCACGCGCTGGTGGACCTCCCGGGGCCGCACGCACCTGGCCGGAAGTGAGCGCGGGTCCGGCGCTAAAAACTGTCCCCCGGCCAGAACTGCACGAGGGTCCGGCGCTGGAAAATGTCTCCCGGCCGGAAGTGCGCGCGGTCCGTTGCTGGAAAGTGTCCCCCGACCGGAAGTGCGCGTGGGTTCGGGCGGGTTTCCCCTGCGCGCCGCGAAGCCGAGCAGGGTCGGAGGCGGCCGCCCCACCCCGCCCCGCCCCGCCCGAGGTGAGCGGTACCGCGGCCGGCGGACTGGGACTTCCGCGGGTGCCTGGGTCCGGTGGGAGGGAGGACGGAGCCAGGCGACCCGGAGGCAAGGAAGAGAAAAGAGCCGAGATTTCTCCGTGAGGAATCGGGGCGATCCGAGGGGCAGGGGGAGAATCGGAGGCCCGCGGGCAGGGCAGGGCGGGGCGGGCCGCATCGGGAGCGTTGCTGAGGTGTCGCAGGCTGGGGCAGCGACCGCTCCGCGCATCCCCACGTGGGAGGGAGCCGTGGGCGGGCGAGGCCGGGGTCACGGGGGTGGGAGCAGAGCCCGCAGGCCCCTGCAGCAGACGCGGGGTGGCCCCCACTCACAGGCTGTCTGGTACCAAGGGTGGGGAGACCACCTTGGCGAATCGGTGAACTCTTCAGCGAGTTAAAAGTCAAAAAGGAACCTTACAGTGAGTGAAAAATTGGCTGCTTGGATGAGTATAATAAGTATTGCACCAGCATACCGTGAGAAAATCGGGACGGCTAAAGCACAAACTGAGATGCAACTGGCAAGGGATGTCGAAGCAGGTTAGACTGACATGTGTCTGAAACGGTTTAGACAGGGATGATCCTGCCGAAAGCACAGGCCTAGACTAGATGCCTTCCTGAGGTCCCTGCCAGCCCTACTTCGCTACGATTCTGGGTTGGCCGTGAGCACAGGATCGGTGACTCTTGTAGCCTTGGGTACCTTGTTCTTGATTAATTATTTTAAAAAGTGAAAATTTGGTAGGAACATAGAAAGTTTGTAGGCTTTGTTTTATGAATGTCATCCAGACTCAAGCCTAGGGTTTTCCCTTTCTCATAATTTTCAAATAGATGATTAAAGGTTGTCTTCAGTTTCCTGAGATATAAATGATGCTTTCAGTTCTCTAAGGCATAGATTGACTTTAGTCATTTCTTTTTGCTTTCTGATGTTGTTCTATTTTGT